AAATTAATAAACCAATTTTTTTTATTTACGAGTTAATCAATTCTATTTGTATTTAATACTCCAGTATATTAAAAGAGACCATCGCCTAAATGAGACGAAATGTACAAATATGTACTTAACATACACGTCACGCTCCCATCGGGAACATTATGTTTATATACACTCATCTTTTCCAACCTCTCTGTAATACTGGCTGACAAAATGAGAGTATGAAATTATATTCTATGATCTGGCTACGACATATCCAAGCTGACCCGGCTGACCTCATGATAATAATAGAAGGTACTTTTCCATAGTGTCGCGACTTCGATTCCAGCAATCTAGTGCAATATTTGTTATAAAACTAATCTCTAGTAAATGTTCGTTAAGATATATTTTGGGCTACCACTTTTGTCTCATCTCAGCCTGATTAGTATGATCTTACTATGAGCTCTTTGCCTGTACATATTGCGATAAGTGTATTCTTCATTATATGAATTTAGGACATGGTCCAACTGTTTATCAAGTTTCATTCAAATTTGTTTAGTCATTATACAAGATAGAAGAGAAGTAATAAATATCTAAACATTTTCACAACCTTTCTCATTTATAATGTTAGTAGGTAGAATGCTTCTGAACTAAATCCAGATTAATACATATGACGGCGGTAAGCTTGCCTATTGCCACTTAGATTGTAATATGCTCGGCGAAATCGGTGACAGTAGATAAATGCTCCTGACTACTTCAACAGGATTTATAATCGTAAGCCTATTATATATATATATATATATATATATATATATATATATATATATATATATATATATATATATATATATATATATATATATATTCTTTATTGCACTAATACATACAGTAATAATAATAAATTAGTGACTAAAAGTATAATAATACCCTGTACCAAATTGAATGAATATATATATATATATATATATATATATATATATATATATATATATATATATATATATATATATATATATATATATATATATACATACATACATAGAAAGTAGGTAATGGGCAATAGTAGTGCCAAATATAAAACTAAACAACAAAAATATTATTATTATATTTTTAACATAAACGCTTTTATAATTGAACGTAACATTACACGACACTATGTATCTAACTGTGACGTGGAATTCTATTTATAATTTTCATATCGTGGATATTCATACTTACACCGATAATATTTTTATATTAGACAATGTAAAGGCTGTGTCAAATCCTATTATATGTATTGAGAAGAAAGTGGTCAGGGTGATACAGTTACATGTGCTATGCTAAAACTTAGTTACGGTCCACACCTGGCGTGAATTTACTGGGTACAGAGGAATAACACCTGAGTCCTCAGGAATGGCAACGCATAGGGGGTATCATGGGCGAAACATTATACTCTGTTATGTCCATGGTACTGCTCATGTCTATAGGCGACGGTTACCACTTTCGATCAGGTGGGTCGTCAGCTTGTTTGCCATTCTAAGTTGTATAAAAAAAACCTAAGATAATTATCAGTATCATATATGGAAAATACATAATATTTTGATAACGATTGACTATAATTTCGTGACGAACCTACGTAGTTCTGTTGCTTTCATTATATATATAGTCGAGAAGGTCCCGGCACAGAATAGACCACCCTTTCCTTTCCCGTAGATGTAAAGTATAAGAGGCGAATAAGGGAGCTTATAGTCGAGGGATGGTCAACAGTGTCCCTCTTTAAACGTCACCAAACACCAAACACCAAATAACAAATAATGGCTGATACGAGAAAAAACTGGCTCCCTCTTATGATATATATATATATATATATATATATATATATATATATATATATATATATATATAAAGTTTTCACTTTAAACCCCAACCGAGACCTTTATTACTGTCACACGCCATTCAAAGCAATTCTAAATAAAACACTGTGGTTTGTGAGAAGGGTGTACTTATTTTTGTACTTTTAACAAAAATTATCTAAATAAAATTACATTCGCATTATATTAGATAAATACTGACGTACTTCTCATTTACATACTATTTCATTCCATCGCTAAAAAAGACATATTAGCAAAATTCTATTAATATTATATATGCGAAAGTTTACAACAATGAATGGTTATAACTCTGTCACACAAAAACTACTGAATGGCATTTGAATAAAATTTGGAACACAGGTAGTCTACAACCTAGCTTAGTACATAGAATACTTTATATACTTATTCACGCAGGCAAAGCCGCGGTATATAGCTAGTTATATTTATATTCCTTATTAAAACGACTTCAAAATGTAGGGAATTTAGTTAATTATTAATTTAATATTTATATTGCTTTTTAAGTCGGCTTCAAAATGTAGAGAATGTCAATTCCCCTATTTTTTGTGTATGTAATGCCATATATTCACCATGTCTTAGTAAATTTTTATTATTGCTATCCATAGGATTTAGTTCTATTGATCTCATATTAAGTTTATCACGACTGAGGTCTATGTTTTCGGAACAAAATCTTAAACTGTTTACATATTATTTTTCTTTAGTAGGACATAAACAATTTGAGATTTTATACATTATTAATTAAAAATAAAATAAAGGACAATAATGTCAATTACCAAATTTGTTTCAATGCCCTTACGTTAATAACAATAAGAAGGTTAATAATTGCCTGAGTGAATGTCACGGTCTTACACCGCGATTCCATTAAATATACATATATGCCTATATCTGCAGCGTAAAACCTAGCAAATATGAAATTTATACGAAGTTTTGGTCGTGTCGCAACGTCTGCTCATGCCAATTTCCGAAATCTATCAACCAATTTTAATAAAAAATTCAAAAATGTATGTTTTTATCATCGTAAATTATTTACAGAAAGCAGAATAATGTTTGCTAATTCAGATTATGTACTTATAAAATATAATTTTCATTTATTTTTTAGTTATATACAGAACAGACTCAATGCTTTATGACATTTTCTATCAGCCAGTCGTTATGCTAAACAATAACAGTAAAAGGCGATGGCGATGCATTGAAATAAAATGAAATACTTTCAATAAATAACATTTTTTAGTTGTTTCTATCAGAATATAGTAGTTTAATATATTGTTTGTGATATTATATTTCGGTGGCGCAATAGATAGATACCTTAAATAGTTACCTACGTATCTTCTGCGCAGCTACATTGCATGTATCAATAAACAAAACTAAAAAAAATGGGTCCATGAACTATTTACTATATTTTTACAGCTAAACTACTATACCATTAAGATAAGACAATAAAACTTCACGTGGACGAGGCCATCATTAGTATCTAAAGTATTTTTGCATTACCATTTTATAGAAAGAAAGAAAATAACAAATCGTCTTTGTGTTTAATGCAAATTTTATTGAATTAGAACTTATTCGGCTAATTTAAATTCTCCTTTGTACTGACTGGTACAATCTTGACAATGCCATTCAATAAAGAACAATTACTAAACAGCGCCGTTGCTTTATAACTGTCAGATTCATTCTTTTACTTGATAAAAAAGAAATATCCGAGAACTTACTACACGTTGCATAATTTACATGATAGTCTGCGGTTTATGGAGGAGACAATTTAAGATATAGTTTTAGATAAAAATCATATAACGAACTATCTACAAATTTATTCTATCATGTAAGATTATCTGAATTATTGACATCATTTGATACCGTCGATCGATCACTTTGTATTGAAGATAACAGCTATATATTTTGTGATACACAATTGTGAACGGGAACACGTGTTTTTATGTATTTCTTCATCCAGTCCACTTCATTCAATAAGGAATATCATTGTTTCGGTTTTCTATAATTCACCGTTTGTATTTTATTTTATTATTATAAAGAAAACAAGAGTTTGCTAGTATCGCATTATTAAAATTCCGTGCACGCTTAACCTCTTTTACCTCATATTCTGATTGCATTTTAAAAATCCTTCTCAATGACTATCTTATGACTTTTTATAAAATATATTTAGAAATCCATCGTAAGAGTCACGATTCTGTCTTCTTACAAAGTTTAATGACATGTCTAGTATACTATACATATATTGTAGAAACAAATATTTGTTTATAACTTTATTGTTGTACATCTGTATAAGAATATATTTTAACTGATTATATTTAATTAAAATAATTATTTTAAACTATTAATATTAGTATTATTATTAGTATTTATTTTATACTAGCTATAAAAGTCTCGTGACGTATCTTGAATAAATGTCTGCCATATATTATTTGGAAGCTTCGTGACGACTCGGTCCCCTTACGTCTAAGTATAAGACATTATCTTCTAAATGGACCTAACCTCCAAAATGAATGTCTTATAATTTATTTATAACTTTGTGTCAGTCTCAGTCAGAGACATTATTATTGGCCGTACATTTTAAGATTATTAAATCTTTATACTTCATTACACCCTACAGTAACAAACAGACCTATTGGCTTAACTTCCTTCAAACAAAAACAATTCTATTACCAAATTATGAAAGCTGTTATGCTTCTAAATTGTTTGGCCTCGGATCTTTTATCATTTAAACCTATAACTTGAAGTGGCAAATAAACCGATTACATCAATTATATTTATTAATTTTCGCCTATAAACATGACAAAAGTAAAGAAAACTATGTATATATAATAAAAAAATAAGGTGATCATAGTATACCTCATGCTGTTTATACCAAGAATTGCAAATTCCTGGTATAAATATTATTTCACAAATCAATATCTATTGTCCATTAAATGTATTACCATTGTCCTACTTTTTAATCAAAATAAGCAAGTACAGTTGCTTCACAGTAGAAATATAAATAAGATAGAGGTAATGCAATTAATTTGACAAAAGTCATATACTACAAAGTCTTTCTTAAGTGTTAGTTTTGTATCTAAGTGTAGATACAGAAAACGTTAACATATTAATGAAGCAGTTTATAAAATATACACATAACTATTTTTATTAAAATCTTTGTTATTTTTGTTGCAGTTACAACACTAGCGGTAAATAAAAAATGTCTGAAAATATTTGGAGAAAAACAACGCTCAGAACAAAAGCGATCAGAAACCGCAGATAGGTGTCAAGATAATGATCTACGACAATAGATAGAAGTAAACGAGCAATCATTATCTTTTAAAACCTTTCCTTTCATCCCTTCCTCGGTAAACGTTGATCTTCCTGATTACCCTTCCATTGAATTTTCAGCGTCATACTAATACTTATTCTACCTATAAATTACTATTCTTTATAACCCTAAATAATTTGAAATTAAAGAAAAATATACAACAATAATAACAAGGTTTCATGAAGAGGCTCCAATTAATCAATATAAGAAACAATCATATCGTAATGACAATACGAAATATTTGTACAAAGTAGTATCGTGCTAGAAGATAATCATCATACAAAGCATTTCAATAATCATATCATCTACATTCTGCTGCCTTAAAAAGTGACAAATTAATACGTAGTGCCAAAGAGTTAATTGCAAGATGTCTCACGGTGTGGTGAAGAGTTCTAGAAACGGGAACAGTACCCATGCAGCGGAGTCAACAAGAGAGACTTCGGAGAGCCCTACACCGCCACCAGATGGAGGCTGGGGTTGGATGGTCGTCTTCGCCTCGTTTATGATTCATATAGTCAGTGAGTAATCCTATTATGTTTAATACTTATCATACTATTTTATCTCTACTATATCTAATACATAATATTTTAAATTGAAGTACCTATTTATAAGTTTATATATAACCAATTTAATATACTCTCTCAAGAGACCAATTGTTGCAAGACACACTGTAAGCAATATCCCGTAATAAACCTGTGCTTTTTTTAATCAACCTTGGAATAGGAAACTAACAGCTCACCTGATAGAAAATGTTAATAGTCACTTATAAACATATATGTGTGGATATCTTGTTAAACATTCTGACACCCATGATATCTTTCACGTGTTCACACCACATCAGTCCATTAGAATAGCTCCAAAGGTTTAATATGAAATTCCACCATACCCAATAATTTTCTTGTCATACCTCACCCTTAAACTTAAATAATCGGTACTTTAACTACATGAAAAGAGAGAAAAAGCTATTTATAGTCTCCCTTAGGAAACATCCGCCTCGTGATACGCTCTCTACTAAAAATATATTTTACATTTAATTCCAAGAATAACATTATTAGGTATTGTTTGTAGCCTTAAACGTTATCCAAATTACATGACTTTTAAATTACAGGACTAAAACTAACTGTTTATACTCGTAAAGAAAAAAATAAAATTGTAATTTGATGGCTAACCTAGCTTATTACTAAATTGTTCTTTTTGATAATCACAGTACTACAAGAGAATAGCGCAAGTATATTCCTGTAATGAAATTGGCAAATGTTTTTCCATGTTATTTTTTATCTTTTATCTTATACTCACAACGTTAGATGTATAATCTGATAACTACTGCTGATATATCTTTACTCTACTGTTACTAACGATGTGGTGATAAAAATAATATATACCGTCCAATATATACTCGTATGAGTACATAGTTAGTATATACATTCTATAAATAATATGCGATAATCAAAACTAATTTGCATTTTCAAAAAAATAAACAGTTGCTTTTTTATTTATGTGCTATTTATATGCCATATAATAAAAGAGGAAAGGAGAAAATACATAAAAAAATAAGGATTAATATTGGAAATTTCTAGACAAAGTTTATTTTATAAATCATCCTTTTTATCTTAAAATCTGAAAAATAAAGTGAAATAAATTGAATTGAATTATCATTGTCCTAGATTATTTATCACTTGATATAGCACGTTTATATCCTTAGTAAACAAAAATACAAATCCTAAGTATAGAAGGTGATAATGTTGACATGTATGAATTGTTTGACATAATATATTATTTCGGTATATATTACTCAACTACTTTTAAAACGCTGGGACTAAAAACTATAGTATATATGTACCATAATATTCTATATTAAAATAACTATAGGTGTTATTTATTCTAATTCATTCATGTAAAATTGACGGACACAACTACTTTTATAAATTAAATAATAATATATTTAAATACATAAAACAAACTTTATTATCTAAAATATGAGCATATAAAGTATGAACATAGTGGAGATAAAAGGCGATGACATATTTGTACTATTTTGAATACGAGTGGCAGTTTTATTATATTATATCTATTTGATCAAATATTTGAAATGACTTTTAAACCACATATCATACAGCACTGTCTGTTCTACATTATATCCAAAGCTATATTCTTACGTAGGTATATAATATATAGTTCCTAAGTTGGTTAGGTATAATATTTAATGCTGAAGAAGTATAAATAATTTATAAAATCCCTGATTTTAATGATTTATTAAATACTGAAACACGTTTCAAAAAACATTTTACAATACTTTTCGAGACTAAAAACCAATTTGCATTTGTTTTACATATGAAAAAATACAGCTGTAGACATACTTATACCCAAAAGAAGATATTATTGATTATACCTATATTAAATTTGTTAAGAGCCTGTGTGTAATTATTGACTAATTGGAACTGTAGAGTCCAATGCAATGACCGCTCCAATTGATATGCACAGTTACCAATAAAGTTCTATTCATCTTCCGACTTATATCTACTATTGTATGTAATCCCGTATCATTCATTCCAGTAATATAGGCCGTGCCGGCAACTATCTATTCATAATATAGGGAACCGGCGATGCTCACAGCCCGTAATAAAAAGAATTCCAAGTTAGGTGATCCTAATCCACTGCTTTCGTTTCCCTTTTACATGTTTAATGCTGATATAAGGTATAAACACTACCTGCCCATTTAAATAAAAAAGAGTTCCGAGATTTGCATCGGTAGTATACGAGCATATATCTAATGAAGACCCAAGATATATAATCAGGGATTAAAAATCCGCACCGTAAATAGAGCGCATACCACATCAATGTATGTATGGATGTATAATATTGTTATTTATTATTAAAATTATACATTTATAATAAAAATACACCTTTTGACTCATACTTCATGCCACAATAACTATTTTTAAAAATATGAAGTAAATAACAATTTTGGTTTTATAATATCAATATGGGAAATGTGAATCTTGGGGTTATTCGACATTCCTTTTACATAATAAAATGTAAAATTTTAGTATTTTTAAATCTCGATCATAAACGATAAAATGATCGACCTTGATCTACATCTCAATGGTATAGCAGTTTAACAAACTGCCTCAACTAGTTGAGGTGAAATAATTGCAAGTTCGATGCCCACATAATACAAATATTTGCATAAATGAGTAAGTTTATATTAATATAAGCGTTTTCTGCCAATTGCACAGTTCTGATAGTATGTAGTAAGATCCGCTTCGTTTCGCACTAAATATAAACTATAAATCTATTTGAACAGAACATAATGAAAATTAACAATTGAATAATTTGACCCAAATAGAATGCTGGCAATGTCGAATAGTATAATAATAAAACAAATTAAAAATCAATTAATTAATTTAATGTTTCGATTTACTACTACTTTTATTTAAAAAACGTTCCTGTGATAATTTTAATAAAACTTCGTTTGCTATTTAGTGTGCCTATAGATTATTTGTCTATAAGGCTATTTATTGATTATTTTATAAAAGTAAAAATAAGTAAATCTGTATTCAGAATGACAATTTTAGGTATCCCAGAGAAGTTGACCGAGTGTTTTTTAATTTAACCACTTATATCCATATATTAAATATTATGAATACGAATATTCTTAGATATGTCATAGTTTTACTTAATATCTATTTTTAGGATGTTAATAAACTTTTATATTTTAAGATGTATAAAGTTTTTTTTATACAACTTAGAATAAAGCAAACAAGCTGACGGCCCACCTAATACAAAGTGGTAACTGCCGCCTATAGACATGAGCAGTACCATGGATATAACAGAGTATACTGTTTCGCCCATGATACCCTCCATGCATTGCCTGTCCTGAGGACTCAGGTGTTATTACTCTGTACCTAGTAAATTCACGCCATATCCCACCCTTAAATTTATTATATCTAAGTTTTTTTGCTCACTAATTCGAATGCGTTAATTTGAGAAGTAGGAATGAATAAATGAATGAATGAATGAATGGTTTATAACAACATGAGGTACAATTTGAAATGAAGAAGTTTTAGGAATAGGTTTAGAAGAACCTGTGTTGTCACCAGTGCCCCATCTCCATTACAAATAAGGAATAACGAAATGTCCACTTCTACATGGGGTACGAGTATCAAATTAAAATACACCAATTAAGTTTAATATTTAATAACCACCAATTCATTAAATAATTAATAACATTAAGTTAGACTTTCAGGAACACAACTATTAAAACTGTTTCCAATACGGTTTAGTAGTTTTTGTATGTTGCCCGAACAAATATATATGATAGACAGACAAAATTTTTAAAAATTCACTTCTATTGCTATTAATAAGACTCCTTATATCAGTTTTTCTTAAATATCTTTGACATAATCTTCATCGGTTCTTATAAAATTTGGCCTATTTTTTATAACTTTGCAATTTACATTTTTAGCAACTTCAAATATGATGTTCAATTAATTTAGTGAATAATAAAGCTAATAGGTATATCTAAATGATAAAAATTACAACAACAAAGATAAACGCTAATATATATATATATATATATATATATATATATATATATATATATATATATATATATATATATATATATACAACATAAATAATTAAAGACCTGTTACGCAAAAAATCGACTTCAACAGTAGTGACAAAACTTACGTTTTACTTACTTAACGTTATTATGATTTTGATAAAATTTCTATGGGACCAATCTGTAAGCATGTTCTTTCAGATAAAAAAAAAATCAAAATCGGTTTAAAACTAACGGAGTTATAAGGTAACAAAATTAAAAAAAAAATTGAAAACCTTCTTCATTTTGAAGTTGGTTGAAAAGGAATTAATAGATTCAAGGAATTAATAGATTCCCTTTTATGACATATTTCGCAAACGACGCACAAATAACATAAAAAAGGGAATAAGACATTTTTATTTATAAAATGAAATATTGAGCTATTGAAAATTTATTCTCATTCAACTCCAATGTAAATACGTTTATATCCCAGAAGCAAAAGGAGGGACACACAATTATTTTATTCATAAAATTAAACAGCTTGATGGATTCTAATAAATTGTGTATAATTAAATACGTATTAATTTTAGAAGTGATTGGGTATTTTTTTTAATGGGTGTAAATGGTATGGTAACCCCGCCTGCGCTAACGGGATACGCTGGCGGAGCACCAGTGAAGGGTGATTGATGAGAATGGAAACAGGTCAGTTAGCCCATCATGATGAATTCATCAGGAATTAACCATGATAGTTTCCAGGGAGAACCGCGAGAAAGTCGACCTGGTTGGGTATCTTGCTAGCAATGGGATTCTCAATCTCCATTACTAACAATCCCTTCCCCCCCCCCCCTCCGTGATTGGGTATTAGATAATTGTAACCTTAGCATGGCTAGGATAAACTGTCATAAACTTACTAAATCTCATACTCGTACTCATATTTGTCCTTGTCAGATCTGCTTGTTAAAAATTATTTACATA